CCCTAATCCAGTACCAAAGAAGACTGCAGTGGCAGTTCCGTGGTTAAGCCACCAGTGCGGGAGGCTCCGAGCAGAACCTGAAAAGGCCAGACCACTCATCCTGACCCATATCCGCATTTCAGGCAGACTCTGGATGGTGTGGTGGGCTTCTGACTACAGATGTGTGCCCATAAGACCTGGACAGAGCTTTACAGCTGAGCAGAAATAAGCCTCGCCCAGCTTGAGTCCTTTTGACAGAACTGGAGCAAAGGCTATGAGGAATCTAAGCCACAGTAAATGTGTATACAGGCTGCCTGTAAAATTCTTAGCTTTTCAAAAATTTCAGAGTTTCAGATAAAACATTAGCCAGAATAGAATAGAATCTGTCCCAAGTTTTGCCCCAATATCTGCAGAAACTAAAAGTAAATGATCTCTCTGGTGTTTCTGAGTTTTTGTGGGACTTTTTTTAGATTTTCTCTCTTTTTTTTAACATTTATTTACTTACATTATTTGTGCGTGTGCATAGTGGTGCGTGTGTGGAGGTCCGAGGACATCTGTGGAGTTAACATGTCCCTTCTGACAGAGGGAACTCGGGTCTTCAGGCTTACCTTCACCCACTAAGCCTGCTCCATGGCGCTCTGTGGTGTCTGCAGGCTGAAGCAGGAAGTGCTCATCCAGTATGGGGTGTTGGAACAGCTGAAACCATACATTTCTTTACCTTTAAACATAGACTGTGACTCTGATCAAAAGCCCCAGGACCCCAGACATAAAGGTGGGCTGGTAGATACACACAGTCAGTTTCTGCTCTGGCCCCGTTCAGTGTTTGACCAATTTTTAATCTAAAAAAAAAAAAAAACAGAGCCCAGCCATTTCATATGATCTAGCTGGTGTTTGATTAATGTGGCTCTTTTTAAATAATTATTTTGAAAATGAAAATATTAGGGTTTTTTCCATGTTCTATTCATGTAGATGAGCTGTCACCATCATAAAAGGACACTTAAGCTTTTCCTCCTAAGATTATGTAATGAGTTAGATAAATTCAGATACATGAAGAGCCACCAAATTCTTAGAACAGGAAAGTGGTGATTATGCCCTCTACTGGTGGAAGGTAAAAAGTTCTCAAATGAAAAAGTAGGCAGAACGACAGAAAAGGGCTCAAGGTGAGAAGAGAGAGAGAGAATGGAAGATGGAAGATGAGAAGAAAAAGAGAAAACAACAAGGAGTGCAAGTAGGAATGAAATTTACCAAAGAAAAAATATTAAGGCAAAATAAATAGAATTGCAGGAACAGAGAGAAAGAACATGAGAGGCTGTGAGGGCTGAGATGGCAGTTAACGCCTCTTGCAGCCAAACTGACAACTTGAGTTTGAGCCCTAGAATCTACAGGGTAGAAGGAGATCACTGACTTCTGAAGTTATCCTCTGACCTCCACATACATGCTCACACACACACATGCACACACCGTAAATAAATGTAACTTAAAAAAAAAAAACTCCTTTAATCCCTTTAATCAACAGGAAGACGTAGATATCAGAAGCAAAGGTCAAACAAAAGGATGTGAGGATATTTTTATTGGGCATCTCCATAGTAACCCTGAAAACATTGGCCACTTTCCAAACTGTAATCTTCTCAAACAGTTCATGACACAACCATGACAGTTCATCCAATCATTACCCTTAGAATTTGGACAGTATGATAAATATAGGAAAATTCTGAGAGAGAGAGAGAGAGAGAGAGAGAGAGAGAGAGAGAGAGTAAAATACAATTACAGTCCTTCATGGCCCTGATTTGTTTCATTCAGTTTTTCTAAGGAGATAGTCACAGCAGACACTATTTATATAGTTGTAGTGTGGAAATTATAAATTCCGGGGTCCAGAGCCTCTGTGTGATCGCTGGCTAGAAACTGATGAGACCCACTGGTTCCCTGCTTTGAGCAATAGGACACTGATAAGGGCATTGCCGTTCAGGCAGAGCCGGGCCCTGTGCACCCCGGATGGGGCAGGTCTTCTAAACAGAAGTCCATTTGGATGAGTCAGAAGGTTTTCCAAAACACAGGGGGCGGTAGGATTTCTCAAGCATTAGGCTCATGGTCTGAAACTTATGCTGAGAGACCTTATGCAGTGTGCATGTTTGTAGGTGTCCACGTGGATGAAGGTTTGAGTATAAGGTGGGGTGGGGACAGAGGTGAATGCAGAGACCAGGGGTCAGCCTCCAGTGCTTGTTCTGCTGGTGCTGTCCAGTTTGTTTCCTGACAGACTCTCTCACTGGGCCGGAACTCACCAGGAACCCTAAGGATCTGTCTGGCCCCGCCTTCCCAGCCTTGGGGTTGCAGATCTATGCTGCGGTGCCTAGGGTTTTGTTGTTGTTGTTGTTTAACGTGGGTTTTGGGACTCATACTCAGGTCCTGGTGTTTGCACAACAAACATTTATCAGCTGAGCCTTTGCATGGTCCAGATGGCACCAAGTGTCACTGCAATAATCTATAAAGCATTTTCAAGAGTTCCTGTTGCTGTTTTTGCAAGCCCTGAGTCTGTGTGATAAAAACCAAAGGGTTGGTGAATAGCGGGAGAAGGCATGGGGATGGGGGCTGCATTGCTCCAGAGGGCCTCTGTGAGGAAAAAAAGAAAACACGTATGTGGAGAATGAGACCTCAGAAGAGAGCAGTACCAGCGAGGGGCCTGGAGCTTTAGCATTCTCAGCCTCGAGGTGCCCCACTGCCAGGCCTAGGCTAGTTGCTTAAGCCAGCGAAGTGGTGCTCATAGCCACACGTCTCTGAAGACATAGTAACACCCACATGGACAGCCACATTATTTAAGAAGGTTCTAGTGGGTACCCGTAAGCTCTGCTGCCAGGCTCAGGTGGGGAAAATGACTGGGGAAGAGAAAGAGGCCAAATGATGGGGGAACTTGTAGTGGGGTGACAGGTGCCATCGCTACACCTGTGGTCCCAGCACTCGGGAGGGGGAGGACGAGATTTGGAGGCCAGCTTGGGTTTATTTCTAGGCAAAAATCAAAATGGAAGGCTAGGCAAAAGAGAGGGCGGAGCAGAGAGAAAGAGGTAGTGAGAAAAGAGAAGGGGACAGAGAAAGACAGAGCTTGGGGCATCCCAACTTCCATCATGCTCCCACCATGTGGTCTTATAAATCCCTCCAGGCTCTGAGCTGCTCACACCTTTTTCTGAGAGTCTATAGAAACCGGTCAGAAGACTTGGGCTTGTCCCTCAGATAGAATCTGCCAGTTTCCATCATGAAGGATTTTCTTCAGGTCAGCAGAGACGAGCAGTCTGCTCCTCCTCGGAGATGGGGATGGGGCAAGGACATGAGTTGTACATACTGACAGCGAGAATCTGTCTTCCAGAAGAAGCCGCTGAGCTGCCAGCTGGAGCCCTCTGACCTGACCTGTGGCCCGGGGTTCATTTGCAGGGTGCCTATAGAGCTGTGTCTAGATTTCAGAAGTTGGGTGTGTCTTCCAGCAAGAATCTTAAGTGGTGATTGTCACAGGACAGTATTACAAAGCAGGGTTTCTCAGACCCTGGTATCCTAGAAGCAGATATTTAACGGATGGGCTGCCTGTCAGGGCCAAGCTCATGTGCTATGCAGAGCTCACGGTGGCGCCAGGGAGCACCAGCCCCTGTGTATGCAGCCTGGCAGCCAGTCAGCAAACCCCTACCAAGTTGCCCATCTGCCCTGGAAGAGCAGGGTACTTCTCTGACACTCCCTGATGGCACCAAAGTGGGGAAATGACTTTGGAGACTGGGAAATGAATGCACTGGTGACTGCTCCATTTAACCAACAGCCAGTTCCAGCTACCTTTCAAGGTCTTCTCATCCCTCGGAATGGCAACTCCCCACCCCCTTACCCTCCCTAGCCCCCTTTCTTGTTTCTTTTGACATTCTGTCAGCTGGATGAAACAAGACTCCCCATCTCCAGGGCTCTCCCTTGCAGGAGCTCCCATTTGAGTCTGGCTCTAGCCTGAAGCCAGAGGCTTTAAATTTCTAACAACCTACCAACTCCTTGGAGCCTCAGCCTTCTAACGTAGGCTCGTAGGCTCGTAGGCTCGTGAACAGAGCAGGAAGCTTGAGGAAGGCATGCTCTGGGAAGGCTGCACACTCAACAGAGGAGACAGAGATCTGCAAGGCCCCACAGTTGGCTCCTTGTACGTGTTTCTGTGTGCTGCTGCTGGCAATGACTGGCACATTGGCCATAACAGGGCTACTAGTATGTGGTCCTGTAGTAACTTAAAAATCAGGGAATCCTAAGTCAGGGGAAGCCAACGACTTGCCAATATATTCGCCAGTACTTACACGTCATATGTAGTAGTGGTTGGTTTGAGTCAAAGGACTCAAAGGACTCTAGCTTCAAGCACTAGATCCATCTACGAGTGAGGTCTTGAGTAGCCCCTGACCCCTGTGTGCCTCAGGGTCCTTCCTATGTAAAGAGAGGAAGCATGCTTGTTCCCCAGGGCAGGGCACCAGCAGGCACTTTGACCCACAGCCCGCACTTGTTCCTCTTCTCTTCTATGTGAGGCTGACTCTATTGGGAGGTGCTGAACTCGGTAGAATTTAGGATTACCATGTACTGCGCATCGACTGGCTGTTCCGAAGGTTCTACACACTTCAAAGCCAGGGTGGAGAGAGCAACCGGGATACACATTTGCATGCACAACACCTACAAATGGACAAAGTTCTCAACCTACAGGAAGCGGTGGTCCCTGCCGCTGCGGGTGGGAGGTCTGGCGACCCTTTCCTGGGATTGTTTTTTAATGGCGTTTGGGTTGAAGGTCACGGGGATCGCATTGCTCGCTGCTCTTGCACCTGTGGGTGCCTGCTCAGCCGAGCGCTTTGACCACCACTCACATTTGTACTCACGTGTCATGTGCCGGGGTCTCTCTTGATGGCTGCTCCTAGCCTCTGCCTTACTGACAAATCACTAATGGTTTCTCTTCTCCCACACCCGCCCTCCCCTGTCCCACCCCCTCTTTCCCCTCTGCCTTCTCTCTGCTGGCTCCCGCTGCTGTTCTCCAGTGCGACCAAGACCAGTGCATTCAGAGCACCAAATTCGTTTTGCAGGCCGCAGCCACTCCCCTGCTTCAGAGCGAACCCAGCCTCACCAGCGAAGAGCTGCATATGCCTGGGAAGCCCGGCCTGGGCACCCCATGTGCTAGCCTGACGCTGGGCCAGCCCACACCACCCTCCTCCATGCCCAACCTTGCCACGGAGGCCACGCTCTCAGACATTATGCCCCTGAAGGACGAGCACGGAGGCCACCAGTTTCTGACTCCAGACGAGGCACCCTCACCGCCGAGGATGCTGGGGCCAGGCAGCCCCCTGGCACACAGCCGTACCATGCACATTCTGGACCTGGCCAGCCAGGACTCCCTGCACGAAGACTCCGTGCGGGGCTTGGTGAAGCTCAGCTCCGTGTGACCTGCGTGGCCAGCCCTGGGACCACAGATGACAAACCAACAAATGGACATAGCCAAATGGAAGTTTATGTTTGGAATCTGCGGGGTGGGCCAGGGGAGGGAGGACCCTCAAGAGAGGAGCCCGGAATTGAAGGCGGCTGCGTGGACACAGCGCCCTCTGTCGGCTGCTTCTGGGACAGACAGGAGGAAGGTTTTCGAACACTGGTGGCCAAACTGAACGCACTTCATGTTTGTTACACTACTAGTTGAAATCGACTCGCCGTTCCTTTTGTTCATTAAAACAAAACAAAAACCCCCAAGGGAAAAGCCGACCGGACATGGGTTTGCATGCCACGCTACAGTCTGTGTGACAGTGGCGCTATTCCAGAAGAAACGCTGCTTTCTTTGTTTTCCTTCTCTTTAATCTTGTGAAACTTTCCAGGGCGACAGACTGGGCCCAACGGGAGACGCCGTCCTGTGTGACTTACTGGACTTAGCTGTATGCAGATGGACGTCCCCCGCTACAGAGGCTACCGGGGTCGGTCCTGCCCTGGACAGACATTTAACCTTCTGCCAACACTTACGTGGGGTGTTGTATTGTGCCAGCGTGGGACCGTCTCGCCCCCTGTGTAATGAACTTCCTGTGGACAGCCAATAAAGTGACTCCTCTGTTATTTTCTTGATCTGTAGACGGTTGTCCTTAACAGCGTACATGCAGCCATTTGTTTACATTATCTCTGGGAAGGAATAACGCAGAGCAGCTGAAGTTCAGATCTCTGGGTCGTGGGTTACTGGGATGGTTTCTTGATGGGACCTGAGCTTGCCAATAGTCCCCAGCCCCTGATAATCCATCTCCCTGGTCTGCTTTTAATGTGGGTTTATCAAGGTTTACTCTGTACTTAGAGCCACCCACTGAGGGAGCAATTGTGTGCGGTAGGTGGAGGGAGGGGTCCCCAGGAGGAGGGATGTTGTCTGGCTGTCTTCTTGACTCCATGTGATGTTGGGGTGTTGCAAACCTCATAGGGTGACCTCATGGTCCTCAGGAAGCAACGCTGGCTCCACGTTGGATCTGAGGTCACATAGATTATACTCTAAGCTCAACACCCATGAAGATGGAAATCAAGTAGCCAGTTCACTCCAAGTGTGACCCGGAAGGGGCTGGTATTTTAGGGAGCCAGCAGACTATGTGGAGGCAGCTACAAGAAGCTCTCTAACACTCCCCAACCTTCTCTTCCAGTGCCATATCCAATGCCAAATCCACAGACTGTGACTATCTGAGGACAAGGCACATTCTCATTAATACAAGAGAGCAGAGACGGTCTTACTCAGTCCCATTCAGGTCACACAATAGTCATGCTGAACATGGCTACAGATGGCTTTCTTGTGACATCTTTGCGTCACCTTCGCTGCTACTCCCCTCGGCTGTGTAGAAATCGGAGAAGGTGAATTATATGCAGCACTTTTTATATATAGTTTTATAGACCTCCTAATTATTTATATTTTAAGACAGAACTTTGCTTACACAACCCCACACACAGTCAAATGCTCTACCTTCGAGCAAAGGGACACCCCACAAAGGACACCCTGAAAAGCCCCTCCAACCACCCCTGCCTTCCAGAAGCAGCTTAGAGTGGTGTGGAAGGAAAGTTTGGCTCAGCCTTACTCTGGGGCCAAGTTTCTACCCCTTGGGGTAGGAGGTGGGGGCCTGGTCTTTAGAGTCCTATCATTCCTGGCACCCCTAACTTAGTGGTTGCCGATTTTCTTTGACCAGCCCCTCTTCCAACAGCCCCATTAAAAAACCCCAAGAAGCAATGATAACATGGCAGATAAGTCACTGCGCACCGTTGGCCATCTGTCTCCCCCTTCGTCAGTGGATTCAGCCAACCACGAATTAAAGCTACTTGGCAGAGCAGAGGCATCTGTCCTGAACTGTGTGGACTTCGTTCCTCACCACATTCCCTAAATGCTCTTCAGTAGTACTGCACTGTGTCAGATATCAATCACCCAGAAACTGCTCAGTGTCTACAGAAGGATGTGTGCACGCTCTGTATGCAAATACTGTTCGGCTTTACTCAGAGTCCTGGGCACCCACAGACTGGAGTTTCCACAGGACTCTGGAACCAATCCGCTAGGGGAACTGAGGCACAAATATACCTGTTATCAATTACCCTGCTCTAACCCCCTTCTCTCTACATACATGGCACCATTCTTCCAATAGGATTTTGGGGAGCTTGGTAAAGATGAATCAAGACTATCCAGGGTCAAGGGGGACGAGAAAATTGGCTTTTAAAAAAATGGAATTGTAAGTCCCACAAAATTCCCATAACCCTTTCCTTTCGCTTGGGAATAAGTGTCTGAATGCTCGAGGTTCCCAGTTCAGTGATGGGGATGGGCACCATCCAGGGAGTAAGTGGTCAGCCTTTCCTGTTAACTGGGTCTATCTGGTGTGGCTAAGTAGGCCTTGGCATTTATAAATGCTTCTAGAGACTGCTATCGATTGAATGCTAGCTAGAAAAAAAATAAGATAAATATTTTACTATGCTATTAAGGCTTGGGCCTGGGAGGGGGTAAAATTTCATCTGCTTTGCAATCTCCCAGAACCACCCCACCAACCATAGGCCTCTTAAGCACTTGAAAGTCAGATGTAGCCAGAGCACCCTAGCCCAGACTGGAGAAGGATGACGATGGCTGGCATCCTGCTTCTAAACAGGCAGGATGGTATGCCACTCTGTGCCAGGATCAACCAGCACATGGTTAATGCTGTGCCCGCTTGAAAAAAAAATGTTCATCCCAGCTTTGGAGGTGATTATTCAGCCAGCAAAGTGCCAGATACCTGTTCCCAAAAAGCTAGTCTCTCAGAACTACCCCTGCCTCCAAATCTGTCAAGTCTTTGCCTGTGTCAGCCATGGTCAGTGATAGGTTCAAACCAAGTGTAAGGCTTTTCAGGGGTGCAGCATACAACTGCAAAACAGGATGTGAACCCCATCTGCAAGCCGTGTTACCCCGAGACCTGAGTGGGTAAGCCTTAGTGTGCTTCACACCCTGGGCCTGGACCTTCTCTAGACCAGCAGCAAGAAGTGTGTGTATTGAAGTTGTAATAGGTGTTCTGAGTGCAGAATGTGGCGGCATTTCCAGGAATAGACGAATGGAACCTCTCAGAGGCTTCGGAGGCCTAACCCAGCCTCAGCACGTGTCACATTCAGAGCCGAGCCTAACCACCACCATCCTCTCTGGGCCTGTGTCGCAGCTGTGACTTCAGGTTGGCGCTCGCTGGCAGGTGTCAGGGGTCTGCCTAATATGATGTAGGACCTCTCCCGCTGGGTTGCTCTGTACTCACCTACACCAGGACACTCCTCAGCTTGTTGAGTTCTTCATGTAAGAAGAAAATAATGAGAAATAATGTTGGCTATATTTTCTAATTAATACCTCAACACTATTCGGAAGCTGTGCCTAAATTAAATTGATGTTTGTGTTTTTACATTAAATGCATTGGTTGTGGGAACCTACCATGTTCTTATCTAAAGGGAAGAGAACTCTGAATAAATTTTCATTCCCCATGGTGTCCTGCACCTATTCTGGACTTCTGTCTATATGGCATTGTGTACTATTTTCCGTGTTAGCTCATATAATTCTCTTTATTATTCCCTTAAATCTAGCTCTCCCTCCCCCCATTTCTCTCCCTCTTCCTCTATTTTTCTGATTAGTTCCCTAACCCACGTGTTGAATGCACAAACTCTTCGCTTTCTCAAATGCCTCCCCCACCTCTCTCAAATGCCTCCCCCACCTCTTTTCACTTCCCTTTCCCCTCTCTCCTGTTTCCCCCTCCTCTTAGTAGGTTTTCACTGAAATAGTAAATGAATGGACATTTTTTTTTTCTCCAATAACCATCACATATAAATTGCTTGTAAACCTTCTTCTATTGCCATGGGCTATGACTCTGATGGTGCAGCCCAGCAGATTTTCAAAGGTATCTGCTTGCTGCATTAATCCAGCCATTAAAAATAATTGGAAGATGAAAAAATTAGATTGTTTTACAGCAACTGTGTCTGAAGCCACAAAATGAGATAAATGGCTTCAACTGAAATGATTTTGTATGTGTGTGCTCATGAACCCTGTTTCCAGAATGGATTGAAAGATTCAGACATATTCTGTGTTATTGCAAAGATTTTTTTTCTATCAGTCGATGAATTATTGAAAGAAACTAATTCATATGACAAAGATATGAATTGACTCTTAGGGTGCCTGGATAGTTGAAGTCTTGGGGAGGATGAAGGAGCCCACAAGACAAAGCTGAGCAGACATGCCTTGAAATTCTAGGTAAGTTGAGATAGTATAGGCTCCAGGAAAAAGAGTATGAAAACTTAAGTCCTGGTAATCTGTGTCCAGAGCACCATGAGCATATATTTCATGATAGGCAAATATTTTGTCATGAGGAAAAGATAGTAAAGAACCTAAAGCTCTTAACAGATGCAAAGCCTTGGCCCTGGGCAGTGGTGACCTTGTTGTCCAGAGCCTTTTGTGTCTTCTGAGAGCTGTGTATTTAAAGAACCTTCCATGAGCTAAACCGTGTATATAAAACTAATCTGATACCTGGAATGAATTTAAAAGCATTTTTCTCCTTTTGTTAAAAACTGCCAATTAATAAAATGTAAACTTTAATCTTTATGCAGGAGATTGTCTGGGCCAAGAAGGAGTAGGGAGAACAAAATCAACATACAATCTCTCTTTCTTGCTGTGTGTGTGTCTGTGTGTGTACCCATCTGATAAGAATGTGGAATTCCTAAAACTCTGGATCTCAGTGTTTCAACAACCAGAGAGCAATGCAGAATCTAGCCCCACCCCCAACCACACACGGATGCTCACCCTCTAGCCCCCAAGAAAAGCAGATAGGAATCATGTTTGGCTACTGGTTAAAAATATGAACAAATAATAATGACTTTGAGAAAATTAGCTAGCTTCCTGGTCCTGCAGAATAAGAACAGAGACAGGCAATTAAGAGGCCATTCACAGTGGCCCACACCTGTGATCCCAGCACTCCAGGAGGCAGAGGCAGGCAAAATCTCTGTGAGTTCTGCTCTGCAAAGGAAGTCCAGGACAGCCAAGGCTACCCAGAGAAACCCTGTCTTGAGAGAAAGAAAGGGGAAAAAAGGAGTCAGTGTGATATCATCAGTGCAGGTACAAACTTCCTTCTGTGTCATTCTGCCTGAGGATCCTTTCATGGTCACAAGATTGGCCCTGCAGTCCAGCCTCAAAGCCACATTCCATGAAGAAGACTGAGGGAAGGAGACCCCTGCCTTCATAGAGCATCCCTAGACACCCTGAATTTCTTCATAATCAATGAGAACTCACATGATCACCCTGGGCAAACAGGAAACTGGGGAATTTGTTTTCACTGAGCACATTCCTACCCCAAATCTTGGGGTTCTGTTGTCAAGGGGGAAAAGGAGGAACTGAGTACTCAGGAGCTCATCTTGTCTCCACAGTGAGTGAAAAGGAAACAAGCCCTCATTCTCGTCTCTGTTAGCAAACTCTGCCTTCGCCCGCCTACACCTCTCTCCTTTGGCAGCTCCTACTTGCTAGGGCAGGCTTGACCGAGCCTACCTTCTCTCTCACACTCTGGGAGGGAAGAAGGCAACATGGAGAGGTCATTTTTATCCTGTCCTGAGAAATCTCGTTGGCATACATATCTGTTAGTGGCATCTGTGTTTTCTGATTGTGATCTAGTCTGTGGATTGGAACTTAATTAATTTGTTAGGTCAGCAGGCAGCTGATGCACAAAAGCATGCTCTCTGGAGATAAGGAAATCAGATGGCTTCGGATGCCACCAAAGATAGTTCTAACCCCGTTCTCACTGAAATTCCAGGTAGGATTCTTCATGTACCTAAATAACCGCAGGTCAGGTTAAAGCCCCAGCAAGACCCTCTCCGTGACTATGACTGTGGGCCATAATATCTGATCCCAAAACACACTAGGAAAAAACTGACAGTGTAAAGAACCCCTTTATAACACCTACAACCCACTCAGGTTCACACCATGCTGGTTTGGATCTCTGTGCCCTTCTCCTCCTCTTCCCAAGGTCACGCCTTCCCTCCTGTACTGCACAGGGCACTCTGCAAAAGGAGCCACGCCCCTTCTGGACATGGCAGCCCAACTGGGAATTGGTACTTCCTACTGTCCAGCGGGACCCTGCATCTTCAGGAACAGGGGTGTGAGTTTCCAGCTGCCTGGGCTGGTGTGTTTGCGTATCCTGTCTTGTGAAGTGGGTGTAGGCTGGTGCTTACGTCCATGAAGCTTCCTCACCCACTCACCACTATGACCTTTGTAGCTAAGAATCTTCCTCAGGCCTTTTCTTCAGTTCCCATTTTGCCTACCATGGAAGCCGATTCTTTCAGAGCTCGGTGGATGGCTTGTGCTTCTTCTAAAAGAGGGAACAATGGAACTTCAAATTGTCCCCTAAAGATAATGAAACAATCCAGAATCTACCTTCTTTTCTATAACCTGTGGTGACTAGTGGGACTACCGCAAATGCTCAATGATGTATTTGAGGGTCAGTGAGCACACAAGCAGTCAGGAGGCACCAAGAGTGATCTGCCTGTCACTGGGATGCTCAGACACTCCACAGCAGTGAACCAGGAAGTAGGTAGGAAGCCCACCAGGCTGGGACAAGGCTGTGAAGTCACTGCAAGACTTTACATACCTCATCCTGACACAGAAACAGTCATGACTAGCACCAGTCCACACAACACTGAAAGACTACTCTCACCAAACAGGGGTCTGGCCTCTGCTCTTGGCCCTCAGGAGAAATCTCTGGAAAGTACGGTCTGATTTGAGCATCTTATCTGAGGGCATTGAGCCATTTGGTGCCATCTCCTCTCTGGAGGGAAGAGGGGTTAGCCAGGAGATGGTCATGACATCCACACAACAGACTACCAGTCACAGCTCTGGAGTAGAGAACAGGTGAGCTCCCCCACATATCAATATTCCCCAGTATCCCTGGGGTAGATGGGTACAGATGATCTGAGAGAGACTGGGAAGGTCAGTACTATTCTGTCTATAGCCTGCCCACCCATGCCTGCATCCCCAAGCTCTTCAGTGATGTTATGAGTTAAAGAGCTCTCCTGAGCTCTGAGGATCTTTCTATTAAGGATTCAAACCTAAGGATGGTTCTGGGAACCCCGAACTCACAATTACTGTTAGAATCAAGGGTGGGTTTCGTCCTTTTTTCATGTAGACAGTGGCTCCTGGGATATATACTGAGAGACCTTAGAATTGTTCCCCAAACTTACCTTCTCCAAGAGGCTAAATCTGTGGGTCTCTATCCTTTTGGTGTCCAATGACCCTTTCATGGGGACGACATATCAGATATCCTGCGTATCAGATGTTTACATTATAATTCATAACAGTAGCAAAATTACAGTTATGAAGTAGCAACAAAAATAATTTGATGGTTGAGGGTCACCACACATGACATGAGGAACTGCATTAGAGGATCACAGCATTAGGAAGGCTGAGAACCACTGCTCTAAGCTATGGTGCAGACACAGAGGGCCTGTGTGTGTATTACCCAAGGGTGATGGAAGCTATAAGCATTCTAGTCTTAGCAGTTTTTAAAAAAACTGTTATTAATGGGGGCTCAGAATGTCAGCAGTGAAAGTGCTTGCTATGCCAGCATGGAGACATGGATTCAGAGCCCCAGAACCTATGTAAAAGCCAGGTATGTAGTTCAGATCTAAAACCCAGTACTGGGAGAGGGGTTGCGACAGGCAGGAAGATCCCTACCTGCCAGTGTAGACAAAATGGGGAGTTCCAGGTTCATTGAGAGAGATCCTGCCTCAAAGCATAAGGTGGAGAAGTGATTGAGGAAGACATCCCAGGTTCAACCTCTGATTTGCATACATGCATGGGCTAGCACACCTCTCTGACCATATATATACCACACCCAGGGGGGGGAAGTGAGAAAGAGAAAAACCTTTTTATTTAACTTAATTTTGCTCAGCAAGAAACTGAGCAAGTTGCAGGAAGAAGGAGGAGGCAGGAGAAATTATGTAAACACAAGGCTAATCCTCTTAAAGACCCAGACAAGAGTGTTAGATCAAAAAAAGAAAAGCAAGTAGATTCAATATACTTTGGTTTGCTTTTCATGCTGCCAAGTTTAACGGATATAGAAATATAAGAGATTAGAAGGTATTAAAGAGGTAAGAGGCATGCATGCTCCTAATTTTCCAGAGAAAATGATGAAAGTCTTTAAAGAAATAGGCTATTTTTTTTTAAATTAGAACAGGTGTTCCTAGTGGTGGCATTTTAAGACTGATTGCCTTCTTAAAGGCCTTGTCTCTAAATATAGTCATAGGGAGGTGGAGCGTCAACCTACAAATGCCAGGAGGACACAGCTCAGTCCAACAGAAAACCATTGCACTTCTCATACATGCACTTGACTGCCACCAACTAGGGGCCAGGTCATATGTGTCTCCTCCCAGCCAAGTCTGAGACCCACATACCTCATCTCAGAGTTATCAGCAGGAAGAAATTTAGCTTCCTAATTATCTTTCAGAATTTTTCAGGGTCGTCTTTGT